GTAATCACAGATCACAGCGGTACTCTGTAATCTGTGGTAGCAATTAGCATGCACATAGAAGTAAGGTGTAAATTAATAAGATGCCCATGCTAGCAGGGAGAGAATGCGATGCTATGGCATACGGATGCCGGAGCTGACAAATTCTTAGAGAGGGCTACAAGTTTTAAAGGATAACTCCCGAAAACTCGTAGTACCAAAAAGGGGGTTTTTTAGTTGGTAAGAATCCAACACTACCCAGCGTTCGGAACACTGGGTGTCTTCGCGAAGATTTTTATTCCTCCAGCCGCCGGGCAAACAAAAAAAAAAAAAAAAACATCCCTTCTACATCGTATTTAGTTGGAATGACAATGACGTTTCGGTCAGTTCAAACGTGACATTAATCGGGTTTAACACGAAAAAAAGTATTAATTATTTAAAAATAATGTGTTAGTAAGGAAATTAGGCAAGAATTGTGCAAAGTATCAAAAACGTACTTTTTCTTATAGCTAGTTATTAAAAGTGAAATGTAAAATATGCGTGAAAGTATGCTAACAGAATTTAGAGGGTAAATATTCAATAATGTTTTAGCTTAATGTATATTCTTTGTAATGAGAAAAAAGTTACATCAATCCCCATTAAAGAAGTTTAGGAATAACGTGCAAATATTTGTGCATTAATTTGAATTCTAACTTGTTTAGGCGTTGTTTTAACAATTTTGAACTAATTCCTGCAATCGGATTTTAAAGTTTTCAGTCAATTTGATTAATGGCAAAACTCTAGTCTAAGTTCTACTCTGCTATCACACTAATGCATCAGTTAATAAATTTAACAGTTTAACATGCAATAAGAGTGGCTGATGGTTAAACGCTGGAGCACTGATGCGCTTATGCACTCGGCCGCTATGCAGTAAAAAAAAGAATGCAAACTGAGTATGCCAAATTAAAAACCATAATACCATGTATATTTTGTGCTAACGTGCAACGTTATTTCAATAATAGACGCAAAAAGGCGCGCGTCCAAACAAGTTTACTTGCGGCAGAAGAAAATGTTGAATATTTTATGTAATGTCTCTTATTTTATTTGAAATAGATCAACAAATATAAGCACGAATAGGAAACATTTAACTAGAGCTCAAAAATCTACTGCTTTTATATGTTTCGAAGGCAAACCTAAAACCGGAAGCTAAAAATAAATATAACATTTATATAGATGCGGGTAGTTTCATTTTAATCTGATCCAATCAACAATAAATAAGTCATATTTTTCTGAATATTTATAACTATTTTAGTAAGTTTTTCCCCCACGGTCATTGCTTAGGAATTTGCATTAAAATTATTTATATTGGTTGTCTCCTGGATTTAAATAAAACACGTTTCTTCTTTCCCTACTAATGGTTGATTGGTTCATACCAAATCTTCGAGATATTTCGGGGCATTTTGCAAGTTACTTACTTTTTATTATACGAATTTTATTTTAAAGCCAAACTTTTCAATTCAGCACGAAACTTAAAATTTAGCTTTTTAGACTGAGATACTTTTTATTCACTTCTCAGGGACAAATTGAGCTATAGCGCTCATTTTCACACCATTAAATTGGATAGACAAATAAAAAGCACGATAATCAAATTAAACATCGCTCGGAAAATATTGGCAGTTTTCAGGCAAAAAGCGAAATATAAACATAATTCTTAGTTTTACGTGGTCTTGATCAAATGATGTCATCGGCTCAAACATGATGCAACCTTTCTGGGCAGAACCACTTGGGCCTCAGCCCTCCTTTTCCTACCACTAGATAGAAAACTTTTAAAACCCCACTTACCAAGTGAAATATCCGTTAAAAAACGTTGGCAGCTTTCACAAAAAAAATCGAGATTTGATAGTAAAACAATTGTTGCAATATTTGTTTGTGTATTTACTTGAAGTGATACAATAAAAATAAAAGTGAAACTCTTAAATCAACTGTGTGACCTGATAAAATATCGTAACTTAAACTTGTATAGAGAATATAAACCACCGAAAACAAATTCAATTCATATTCAGCGACAGTTTCAAAAAAATAAAGTATATCAAAATAAACAATATAACAGAAAAAGATCATCAAACATAATACGACTAATCCACTCCACTGACAAAATAAGTTTTATAACGAATTGTTAAATATAAGTTATCATTATACACTAATAAGTAATTATTTTAAGTAAACTTACGTTTAACAATTATAGAGAACCCAAAAGTTACATGATTATATTATAAGTAAAAAATCTTCACAAAAACTTAGTGTAAAATTATGTGGAATTTAAGTAGATTTGATAACGTGCTTAAACATTTCCCAACGTACGTTTTGTTACTACAAAAAAATAACAATCTACTTAAATTACAAATATTTTAGTTGCCTAGTGTGATATGTGACTAAGCATGATTTACTCACACCCCAGTGTAATTCCTAATTGTATTTTATTATGTAAACTAAACTCGAGACTTAAGATTTTTTATGTGTCTACTCAAAATTATCATAACAGACACTTTTAGCAGTAGTGGCAAATGAAAAAAATATTTAATTGCTGTAGAGTCCGGGCCGCTAATCATTGTTCTCATTCATCTGCCTATAAATAAAAACGACAACGACATTGACGGTCATGTGAATCTGATCATTGCTTATACTCTTGTTTGAGATTGTATAACTTCCACTGAGGTGCATGAAGATAAAAATTACTATCATTATAATGGCACATCCAACATTATGACACCACGCAGGATAAGATAAATAAGTTTCTGCTTCTAACGTGATATCCTTTGTGACATTCACCGATGACTTATTTTGGCACAAATTTCATATATATTACAGTAGCTGTCCAGAAAAATACTTTTCATATAATGAGTTGTTAAAATCAAAAGAAAGAAAACTAGCAAACCGTGAAAACCGTTATCTTACTCAACCTGCTGATTGCCAGTAGGTTGTCGGTTATAAAAATAAATAAATAAATATCATAAATAAATAATATGTAAACTGGGGATCGAAAGCAACCGATATACCAATTATATTCCTTTAGCTGAGTAAATATCACCTGAGCTTAGGAAGAATGAAACTGTGGTTTTTTACAAGTCAGATTCTCCATAGAGCGCTGTTGAGAATGACATGTAATCTAGAGCTCCAGGTACGCCTCCGGGACCCTTGTAGGGTGGCATTCGTTGTATACAGTACTCGGCTTGGTCTGGTGGTAATTCTCGTCTCAGTTCGTCGGGAAGAATATATGGCTGAAAAAATAATTCAATTACAATAACTAAAATAATCATATAACCACGCTCAATAAATTGACTTGTGCGTTTAAATTACAATTTACATTGTACAAATGTAATGCTTGCTGCATCCAAATGATGAAGGTTGAAATAAAGTCAAGTGTATTAAAAGTATAAAAAGTGCTTACTTTATCGGCAGCCAGAATGCGGAAACTATCGATCACTTGTTCGGCGGTGTCAGTATCCGTGCTTTCTCTGGTCATAAAGTCCAAGAAGGCATCAAAGTGTACATATCCAGTACTGTTGGGGTCGACAACTGCTAAAATCCGTTGGAAGTCGATGTCTCCTTGCCTATCTTTACCAATTGAATATCCAAGAGAAACCAAGCAGGATTTGAATTCGTCTGGGGCAAGGCGTCCTAAAGAACGCATACAGTTCAATAGCAGTTTCATTATTATTCAAATTAAGACGTAGACGCAGGAAGTAAATTTTCTCAAATTTATATGCCCAGCCGAGAGTGTTTTGATAGTTTAGTATCTTTTTATTTAGACCCAAATTAGAAACATTTTAAAACTGCTTGCTGTATTACCTGTACGGTTCTTGTCGAAGTGATTGAAGGATGATCTAAACTCGTTCAGTTGTTCTTGAGTAATACCTTTAGAATCCCTGGTCAAAATTTGGTTTTCTACTTCGTTGATATTACGGTTAATTGATGTTAATAGTTGCTCCCATCCTACTCGTAATGTCTCCATCGTGTATTGCGTGTATCTGAAAAGTTAATTATTTTTTCAGTTTAGTCAGACTTTTGTTGAAAATCGAATGCAAAATAACTCTAAAATATTTCTAAGTTCGCAACAAACAATTCGAGTATTACAGCAGTTTCTTTGTTCACCTATAATTATACATAGAGGATGGACTTTGGAAACACGTGACATCCATCTTACCTATTTTCAAAGATCATACTTTCTTGTACGGCTTGATGGATCTTCTCCAATTCCTCAATGTGTGGCTTATATGCATAAACTCCCTGTTCGTATTCCTTCAATCTGTGCAATTGATCTTCTAAAGTTCCATGCAGACCCATTCCAATGGCAGTAACAGCGTCAAGTTGGCGCTCGATCCATGGTCCGACTGCATTTGCTTTTTCCGCGAATTGTCTTCTAAGCATTTCATTGTTCTGTTGTTTCCTTAGTTCAGCTTGAAGAGTTGCATCTCGTTGGGGCACAAGTTGTCTTACGTCGCCCCATTTCCTTGTCAAGTCCTATGAAATTGAACAGGTCAAACAACTGGTACACATCTAAGATCGACTAAACATCTGCTTTAAGTAGTTCTTTACCTCCAAATTACCACCAAATCCTTCCTTGTTACAAGCATGAGAGGAGAACAGATCGCACATTATTTAATATCCTCTTTTATTACGAAGATTTATGAGGTGAGTGGTTTTAGCTCTTGTTCATTTACTGATATTTGTCTATGTCTGAGTTAAAACAGTAAATGAACTTAAAGGTTTGGTGATCTGCAATATGAGCGGCTTGATGGACACTAATTCTAGCAAATATGTCAATTTATGCAGTATAAAAAATTATATTTAGATAATTTGAAATAACATCAAACTTATATCAGACAGTACAAAAAAAATTATGCACTTGCGCTTTTCTTGCAACTATGTCCAGCTCAGACGTTCATAAAAAGGACAGTACAGAATAATTTTGTGCCAATTCCAAAAAATAATGTTTGCTGTTTGTAATTATAATTTTGCCTCGTATTTTATGTATGTTAGTTCGACTTTATTTCTTAGTTTTTTCAGAGTTTCAATTTGTTACATGAAAACAAATACAAAATTTGGTATTCGAAAATCCGATTTCTACTATTACATACGAGTGAAAGAAAATATGCAGGAATTTACTGTCTACTATCACAAGTTAAAAATGTTGCGGAATGAGAAAAAGTTTTAAAAATCCAACTTCACCCTGTATATTTGGTTGTTTCGTATAAATAAATACTGATCATTTTGCGCTTTAAAAATTGTAGATACATTAATCAGGCATATCGGTGTGGAATAAAATTAACAATACGATTGTGTGCAAATGAAATGACATGTGAAGCAATAATTAATGTAACAAATTCCTTACGTGAGCAGTAAGTGTTGTGTAGGGATTCTCAAGTCCGCCGGGAATTTGATGTTGCTTCACTATACTTTCAACCTCCCTGACAAGACCAACAATGCTTTGGTATTCCTTGTCTGCTTCTCCCAATGTAGCCTAAATTGCAAATTCATGGATTGGATTATGAAAACCAGCATCAGATAATTGCAAACGTACCTTGAAATGTGAATGAGCATCAATCAATCCTTGGATCTCCTCAACGGTATGAACAATGAAAATATCCACCAAATCCTCTCTAGTGCCATCAAGCCAGTTGTTGAATGGAGCGGCACGTTTCGCGAACTCCAAATGAAGAATATCGATCTTTTCCATGATGCGTTCGGCATCGTCAAGTGCTTGTCTCCTTCGTTGAGTCAGAGCCCCCAGACGATCCCATTGGTCGCAAATACGTTGGCAGCGCCCGTTTACGGTAACACTATCGTGATAATCCAGAGTGCTGAAGAGAAAAAACATTGCTGTTTAAATGTCTGAAGACACTTCAGACAACACATCATTCAGATCTTCTAATGAAGCTTCAAGTCTCGAAAGTTTTGATGAAATATTTTCAGTTACTTGGAATAGTGAAGAATAGTCGTCTTCACCATTACAAGTGCTTCTCACCAAACCAGAATTCTCTGTCTATGTAATGTGAGCTTTGTACATTTTTGAAAAATATTACGTGCACGTTCTATACTTACTTTAATTCTTGAGCAATGGCAGCGATTTGTTCCACGCGATCCTGATGAGCGGCAAGGTCGCTCTCGAAAGCTTCATGTTTCTTCTTCAGCGCTTTAAGCTCGTTCAATCTGCAGTTGCGGAAATCTTGGCTTTGAAGCATCTCTTCCTTACCTCTGGTCCATTCTTCATGAGCATCGGCCTTACGTCTGAACTTCTCAGCCAAATGCTCCAAACGTTCCAGACGCATCATCTCCGATAGCAGCCATTCTTCGAATGCCTTTTCGGCACCTTCCAAACCTTTCCATGCGTTGGCAATGTCCTATTTGAAAATTATAGAGTTGGAACAACTGATATTGTGATTTTGTTTGTTTTTACATTTTGATCACGATACGCATACATATAATTATTTCTGAATTATGACTGCTTACCGACACCATTTTTCCTTCAGTTGGCATGTAAGCTGGTCTGTTGGATAACCTGAGCTTGGTTTGCAAAGTATTAAAGTTGGTTTCGAGTTTTGCTTTCTGCTCTACACGAGGAGGCTTGTGTTTGCGCCTATAAGTGCGGTATTCCTCCAATTTCTTTTGGACACCAGCTAAGGAGTTGTCTGTTTGCCTTGAGTTCAACCAAGGCATCGTACGCCTGATCCATTCCAAAAGCTACAAAAAAAAGTTAAATTAAAAAATAATAAAGATTCAATGACATTCTTGTTTTTAGACATTAATTCCATTTCAATTACTGCATTTTCCAAAATTTTAATTTTTAAATTATTTTTGCTGACAACAATAGTGAAAAATGTTTTGGAAATTTTATTTCAAATGGGTTTCCTAAACCAAAACAGAAATTTTTCGGAAAATTTGATTGAAATAATAATAATTTTTCAAACATTAACTAATATTTGCTAAACTGCTAATTAATATAATAATATAATTAATATAACGTGCTTAACATATGAAATTAAAATATAATAGTTAATTAATAGTAGAAAATAAAATATAGTTGAGGTGCTAGTAATATTTGTTTTTGAACCTGTATGATTTTATATTTATGTTCTCTTTTTCAATCAAATATTCGCATCATTAAAAACTTTATCAATTTAATTTTTATATAAAAACTACATGTACTTACATCGCTGGCAAGACGTTCATATTCTTCCATAAGTCTCTCATTTTCTTGATTGACTTTAAGTACTTTGCAAATTCGGTTGGCAGCTGTTTCGGCCTAAAATACAGTTTATAACTTAACTGAAGTTACACACATCATCAGATAATTGGGATTATTTAGCATAAGCAGAACATCTAGCTCGTTGAACGTGATAGATTAGGTATTAAAGTGGACACAGCTAAATCAAAATTCAACAGACAAGGCGGCGCGAAAAATATAAAGGATTATATTATGAGGAATGATAAATTTTAATTTCATTTAATTCATAATTATTCTCCGAGTTTTCATCCCAGTTGAATGCGCCCACATGAAAGATTCATGCAGCACAGATACAGTTATCCACATCTATGGAAAAAGTAAACGGCTGATTTCTTCTCAAATTTACGTACTTTCTTTACCACAGCAACTAAATATTCCGCTTTTAATTAAACATGCTTTTCACTCACGAAAAATAATTGCGACAGTTATATTAAGCATGTAGACAATTAAAAAATAGGCGCACACAAAAAAAGGTTAGTAGATACTTGGGTGAAGTGTTGAAACGTGTGTCCAGCCTAAACAATTATTCTCAGTAAATTACTCCGTGATTAAAAGGTGATGTTTTTACTTGTTAGGCCAGAAAACGGTTCAAGTTGGAACATCGGATGTCGTATAGACTGCAAACCCAAAAACAGTTTTAGCGTTTTTGCCAGAACGTCGCAATTCCTTGATCTTCAATCTCAAATGAAACAATTGACAATTTTGTTCATTTTTACAAGTAAATTAGCATCGTTTATTGATTGCTTGGATTAGGTGTATAATTAATCTCCTTTGGTTTACTATAGCGTAAAAATCCAGTATTTGTTGAGTGAACTTTAAGTAAAGTTATATTCAATGACGAGGCTGGTTTATGGTCGATTGGCTTCGTCCACAAGCAAAAAGTCCTACTGTTTGGTTTGGACTGTGGTTGGAAGAAATACTCAATATAATTTTTTTTCTAGAAGTCGAAGCACCGCAATTACGTTTAACAGTGACCAATTACTTATTGACGCAACAAAGATTCGTTGCTGGTAAGTACCTGCCATATATTTTACGTAAATTTTGGAATTCATTGAACACGAAATTTGTCCATCAGTTTTAAAAAGAAAAATATTTATAAAAGTTGCAACATAAAAACATTTACTTTAAACTGGCTGTTGCAAAAGAATGATCCGCGAGCAAGCGGATCTACTGATTTCAATTCGATTAGCAATAGCATTTCCGTAATAGAATAATCAACTATTCAAGCATAAATCAATTTGAATGGAAAACACAGAGATAAGGATAAAAATATAATTAAAAAGTCAAAACTGAGCATTGAAATATTCCTGAAAGATAACGTGTTATTAATTTAATTCATTTTCGCGTTTGAATACGTTTAAACGCGATCAATCCCATCGGGTTCTTATGAGAAAATGCTTAAGATGGAAATTTTACTGTTTCGGTTTCTTTGATTCTATGTTCAAAACTTTGCCTATGAATTTTAACTTCACTGTGTTTAATCATTTAGTACCTGCACTAATTATTGGACATACATTTCGAATAGCTTGATGAGAGTTTATTTCTTGGACTTCATTAATTTTATGATTACCCTTTAGAGGATAGATGCAAAAAGAAATATTTTTATATTGTAATTATTTACTGCAAACCCTCTGTCTTTATATCAGAATCTACTGAATCATGTTCACTATTTTAATTAAAATTATTTCCAATAATTCTCATGACGTTTTCAAACAAGATAACTTAATGATGAAAAGCGTATGCCAATGTATTTAGTGGTTTCAATTTTTTCTTAAAGTATCCGCGACTTTTTAAGTTTGTTGACAACTTCGTACCTTAGGAAATTAATTGGTGAAATTGAGTTAATAAACTTTTCATCAAAGTTCTGATTTTCTACTTTTTACTATTTTGTTAATTTATAAATGTACATTGTCAATATAACATAATCAATATTAAATCATTTTGTTTAAGAAAATATATTTTTGAATTATTGTACAAAATATTTAATCGAGTAGGGAGGATAGATATATCCACGGAACAATCTACTCATCAAGCTGAAAGTATAATACAAAAATGAATGATTTTTTCACCTTTTGAGCACCGGAAAAGCAGTGGTAGTAAGACGACACATATGTCATGACCGCTCGTTCATCCGGCATGGCAGTGTTCTGTAAGTCTGCGTGCAAACAATATTATCAACATAACACAACATGCGAAAACAATGAGCTTGGTACCTACCATAAACCTAAATATTTCTGTTAAATGAAAAGTGACCTTTAGAGTTCCTAAAGCCTTAATGTAATAAAAAATGTTAAGCGCTCACAATAAGGGTAAAAGTCCTAATGAGCAGAATTTATGATTAAATAAACTCAAATAAATTTTTTATTAAAATTTTTCTTAGTTAATTGAAGAAAAACGCTATTATAATACATAGCTTTATGAAATACGTTACCCAGGAAAATGAATAAAATATAAAGTACCTAATAATTAGTAAAGACAAAATCTGATCCACACACTGAACATCTTCCACCTTATTCCTCTTAATTTGACAAAAAAAGTACCTACTCAATGAAAAACAGAACAGAACACACAAGTAAACCTTATTATGAATCTGAAATGTTTCTTTTAAATTCGAAATATCCTCACAAAGGTATTTGCGAAATCAACATTAGACATGAATAATAGTAAAATTGTTTTTCCATTGCCATGTCAAAAATTGGCTTTGCAGTCTACTATCTTTACAAAATTAGAGAAAACAATTACAGAATAATTAATGACTGCCCAAGGTAGACAGCAGACAAAAATGTATTTAATTAAAAGTTTCGCTGCGTTCCTTGAAATTAGGTCATGTGGGTATTTTCACGAATATGCCATGTGGGCATTAAAATAGACGGGAAAACTCCGAATGTTAGCAAAGATCAACACTTGGGTCGATGATAACAAAGTTTTACACACACCAAGTTATTTAATAAAATCAAGCAAATAACAATGTTAAATTGCAATAAAACAACTGCGTTTTGATATAAGGGTCGGCGTTTAAGATGAACAAAAGTATTTGGATGCTAAAGGTTATCTTTTCGGGTAATAAATCGTATCAACTAGATAACATCCATTTAATTAAATAATTTTTGAAATTCCATTGGCTCATTTTTTCTAAATTTGAGGGCTGACGAATGTGAAATTACGACTTGTTACGAACAAAAGCGTTTGTGTAAAACGTATAGTATTAAACCAAAAAATTCTATGTGAAAGTTATAATTCATCAATAATAATAATGGTGACTTAAAACGTCCAAGTGCTGAACCAGTTCAAGGCAAATAAGCGGGAATGTGACATAATACTTGTTTTCGAGCAATGAAAAACTATTATTTACCTGAAATGAACGCCAGATTTGTTCGGCTATTTATATCCTAAATGATTCAAATGAGAAAGTAATATTCTAAACGACAGAACAGTAGAAAACAAGTTCATAAAACCACATAACATAAATGGTATTTGAAATGTAAATCAAATTAAAAATGTGTGAAGGATGGCGGGAAACGGCTTCTTTTTATTACAACTAATATATGCAAATTTAATGTGCTAGATATTTATTTTTATGAGTACTTGGTATCTTCATTCTCGAGTTAACACTTTTAGATTTCTTATTTGTCCATTCTAAACGACATTTGTTTTTATTTCTACCTTATAATCGGTTTGCAGAAGATAGACCTCGGCTTTTCGAGGATTTGAATTTAAGTGAATATCTTTATTGTGTTTTAAGGCGTTTTAGACGTTTGCATAGAATCTGCTAAAACGACGAAAAACGTGTAAATATTGCGCACTCCAAACTAAAAAAATTAGATTAGCATAAATTAGGAAAATAGTTCAATCAGTATGTGGAAACAGATTTTAATTCGAAAATGGCGCGCCAATGAAAATAAGCTATGACTGTTAAGTAACACAAATACATCAATAAAAATAAAACAAAACAACAAAGCAGATGTTGGAAGTAATATCCATCCTGCCTTCAACAAAATACGACTGTTTAATGTCGAATATACAGTTGAAAGGGGCAGTACATTACGATCAATCCACAGTTATGTATATTTGATTAGTAGAGTGACAATTTTTGATAGACTTTTTTCTGAAACTGAAGAAAAATTAAAATAATCATCACACTCGTAAGACGCAGAAGAAAAATACTAAACAAAAATCAACATTGCTAGATACTGATATCAAAAATCGTCCTTCTGTTTTCAACGGCGTGTTAAAATCAAATTGAGGCAAAACCATGTTGCTGGATTAGGAAAAAATATTTAAAAAATCATGTTAAGGTACAACCACGATCAAATCTACCTGTTGTGCGCCTTGAAACGCGTGATAATAACATGAAACATAGGTCATAATAGCGCGCTCATCTGGCTTTGGGGTATTAATTAAATCTGCAAAAAATAACGATTGATAATCGAGTCCTAAATGCTGTACAAACTATTAGTACCACCGGGACTTAATTAAATTCAAAAAAGGTTTTAATTAAAACTACTCTAAAGAACATACTTTATCAGGGGAATTTTGTGTTTAACTTGAAATAAATAAATAATAGCAAACGAAAAATCTAGTTGTCCTTAGAATCTTTCAAATTGGAGAATTATTTTGAGCTGATGACATCTGAAGAAAGTAAGAGCAATAAAGGTTCTCAAAATTATATATCAGCCTACCTTATACTAAAGAAACAGCAAGAATGTTTAAATTTGGATTACAACGTTCCCATTTGAAGTTTGCTCAAATCACTTTTCGCAAACAGCACTTTTCATGTCCTTATTCAATTAACACCAGATTATAATACATAATGTATGTTAAAGCGATAAACGGTAATATTATTTACAATTCAACAAATATAATGCACAATTTTAGCTGCTTAAAAAAAGTTGTTTGCAAATAGGTAAAACATTAAGGGCATATCTAGATTAACATAAAGACCACGGCTTGGAAATCTTGGTAATTCGATACGACTATTTTTGGCAACAAATTTTCAAATATCTTGACAACACCTAGAAAGAAGCCGAATTGAAAACGAAAAATGTTCAGCGATTTAAAAAGACAGCCTTAATGCTAGTTGTGCATAAAAACACTTTCATGGAATATCACCAGAGCCTAATAGACTCTGAGCTTAAAATATAGCCAATTTAGCCATTAAAATTTTACAATTTTTTTAATATACAATTTTATATTTTTTAATCCTTTTTTATTTACATTGAGTATGTAAAAATCGTGTCTCGTAATGACATGATCAAACTACTACTTTGGCATGGTTCGGCTCAAATGAACACGACCTGGCTTTTTTTACGAAAAAATGTATGGCTCCTCTGCTGTTGATGGTCTGATGATAATTTTGAGCAGTCGCTGCTGGATAGGGCCGTAAAATGCGAAGTTTTCTTTATACCAAACACTATTTTAGGAATGTTTATAGTTGTCAGGCAATATGACAAAAATCTGAATTAAAGCGGCTTTGAATCTTGGCTCTTGGTCTTTGATCATATTTAGAGAATCGTTTGAGTTGCAAGTTTGCAACTTGTCATTGCGTGATAAAGAAAGCCTTAAAACGCTAATTTTTCTAAACGAAACATCGTTTTAGGTATATTTCCAGCTTTCACGCCAAATGGGAAAATTAAACATGGGCCAGACTTTTTTGTAATAAAAATTAGGCCAGATCGTCTTGTTTTGAGCTAAAGAATGTCGCAGTACTATTTTGATCGTTTTTGGGACAGACTGTATACATTAAGTTATCACACGTTGTTTTAAGCAGTTTGGCTTTAATACAATGTGTCCAAATTAATTGGCATAATTCAACTATAAATTATTAGAACAGTTATTATTGTGCGAAATGAAGTCAAATTTAGAATAATTTTGCAGAATATTCGCGAATTATATTTTTTGCCTGTTTGAGTGGTTGCTGGAGCTGCCGCTCTGCAAGCGAAGCTAATAGTAGTCAATTGTTTCTATATAACAAGAGCAAAAACAACCAAGTTAATCTAGTTCGAATGCATATTCAAATTGAAAGTAAAGGTAAATGCCGGTGTAAAGAGAGAGGTCTTTGCAAACAACCTTGCAGCGTTGTCAAACTACTAAAAAACCCCCGTGCAAAATGAGTTTTTGTATTACATAGCAAATAAGTTTTCAAAGGAAAGGCCGAAGTGGCATATAGAATTTGGATGTCCAACTGATAACGTGCATTTGACAATAACCGCGCCCCTCATTCAACCGTTACCTTTATATACAAATATATCGAAAAATGTGTAACGACTGCTTACCGTCAGGATCTAACATCCTTGGAATGTCCAAATATTTCTCAGCTACGTCGAAGGCATAATTTAGGTTCTCTAGGGGATTGTCTTTGCTTAATCTACTGTAGTCGATTAGATCTGGTCGATGTCTATGGATCAACGCGCAGAAGGCTAAACCATCCTGTAATAAAAAAAACAGATTTTGAAAAGTCAGGGATTGAAAAAAAACCCAATATTTCTTGAAGTATTTGCATGTCATCTATATTATAAATTAGGAAATAACGATTAACTTGTATTAGTGTTAAACTGTAAATCGCCAGATGTTAACAACATATACAATCAATTGATAAAAGCCTGTTAAATAACTGTTAAACCGGCGCCGCATTAATATAAAGTAAAGCCTAGACTCCAGTGCTTACTGGATAGATGTTGCAAGTGTATGTTTTCTGAAATTATCGGTATTAATCACTTTCCGATATTCTGGTTAGATATGATTGTTTAGAATACAATAGTGCTCTATTTATTGAAAACAATATCACAGAAATTGTTTAGAGGTGCAATTTTAATTAGTGTGTCATGGTTAAAAGAGTTAATGCCTAAGAACTCCTTAATAAGAATCCTAAAACAGCATCAATGATTGCACTCAAAAATTACTCAACTGAACCAAAGGACACAAGAAACTATTTAAAAAGTTAGATACCAATCAAAATTATTATTGAAATGTTTTTCAGTTTGTCGTTACTTATTCGAGTTTAACTTTCTCCCTTTCAATTGAGTGGTTCAATCCTCAATTATGGAAATTTAATTATGAGTTTGATCGCAATTGGAATAAGGTAGATCATAAGAAACTCTTCATAAATGATTATCTGCGGGTCTTAAGAAGTGTCTTCAAATAATTTTAAATTACCTCGAAAATATTAGCATTCATCTTAATATTTTGAAAAAAAAATAAAAAACAAAACCATAATTAATATTTGTTTTTTTAATCTGCGAAGTGAAACATATTTATTGTTTTTGAAAAAACTTACCTTGAATGACAGATGGAAGTTCTGAACATTAACATTTTTGTATGGGGCAGTCTTTCTTTGACACCATAGCAAAAGACCTTCTTTAGCTGTCATTTCTTCCACTGAAATATCTTGAATGGCGAATCGCAGAATGATGGTCCAGATCATACCAAGCGTCATTTTCAGATTGCCGTCGACGATTTCTGCAAAAAAATATTGAAAACATTAAAACATATATTAATCGTACTTATAAAATTAATTATACATTAACAATCAGGTCTACACATTAATGCCATTACAGTGCAATATATACTCTACTAATATTTTTGTTGATAAATTGGCCTGATATTGCAATTTAAAAATTTACGGAAAAAATAGCTGATTAAACGCTAGCCACTTTTTGCAGTCGAATTGTGGATGTTCGAATAAATCTATACAAATACGTTTTTCTTTAGCTACTGATTTCAAGTTATATTAAAAATTAATGTCGTTTTAAAAAGAGATTTGGGAGAAGTAGGAAGTTTAACTTCCTACTTTCGCTAAATAGAATGCCATACTTTTTATGTTCCTTCGCGATTTCGAAATAATTTTCTCTTAGAATTGGACAGCTTGTGTTTATAAACATACTATTTATCGAAATACATCGCCATTCCACGATTGTAGGAATTAATGTTTGCATGGAACATTTCTCCATCAGTATGTTGTTATAACAGCTAATAATAGCCTAAGAGTGGGGTGGGAATATATATTGAGAATATTACTCCAGTTTTTATATAGATTGCATGAAATTGTACTTATGCCGAAGAGCTTAACATTCTGATTTACGTTTAAAAACTTTTTGTTAAAAAAATCATTGTACAATGGCCTTGATTTCCTTTAAACCCTTTTCTACGTGAGACGAGTTCGAAGTGAAACGGTTTAAATATATTTTTTATTATTAGTATATTTCTTCAACCATTAGTTTTTCCTTCTTGTTGTTTGCTTCCGCATAGGAAAAGTTTGAGTTCGTTTATGTTACAAAAACATTTCGATTCATGATACCAAGCGTATTTTAAGTTTGTACTCGTATTACAATTAAAGATATTCTCATCACTAAGTAGAGAACAGATAATAGAAAAAAAGCCGATAATTGAGTTTTCGAATGGTCAGCTGTTCCTTGGATTAGCAAAATGTTTTTTACCGGATGTTCTTGGCGAGATGCGAGGCGCCTGAACACCTAATTGCACTGAAAAGACATTTTTAAGAGAGCCTGGCCAAAGAAAGAATAGTGCGACACTCCGTCGTCTTAGTAAAGTAGAGGCGTCTGCCAGGGATGCGCTCTCTAAGTTTTCCAACCGGACATGAGCAGAATGATACAACGTTGATGGCAGCATCACGAGAAGGGAGAGGAAATGTCGGACTTTCTGAACCCAGATGAGACAGAGGGCAAAAGATGCAGCTTCAAGATAAACGATCAGAAAACTAATTTTATGGTTCTCGATTGGTCTAATAGGAACATCCAGAATAGACTATCCTCCATTTGTCTCGCAGGTATCCTGAGGTTTTTTGACCATATTACGTGAAGAGAGGATTCGAAAACATAGAAAACAAATATAGGCCAACCCGATATACTGCTAAACATATTCTAATACTATATTTCCTTTTACGATGCTGTAAATAAAAGCGACGATTCGAAGCCAATGAAGAGCACTAACAGCACAAGTTGTTAATGATCACGATTCTCAGTAATAAGAGAACGACTAGCGAGAGAAATCAGTAAGATTTTTTGATGAAATATCTTAGATTTGTTGAACAGCATCTCATATCAGAGTTATATTTTGTTTATAAATAATACTTTAATTTACACTATCCGTTGTAATTAGAAGGTTCTGATATTTAGATTTTTTTGGACAAACGTACGGAGAAATGGATTGAGAAAATTTGCATGCGTCATCGAACCCATTCTTATGTAAAACTGGTAATTTATTTCCGATTAATGTTTGATTAAGTGAAGTGGACTGTTACACTTTCAAAGTTGCCAAAATTGCTTGTAAGGAAAATGTATTCACTATAAATCATGCGAAACTAAATGATTTAATTGAGTGATCGTAAGCGAAATGAAAATTATTCGAAACTAATCTACTTAGTTCTAAATTAATCCGAAATGAAATGAATGATGCAAAATAGTTAATTTGCTATCATCAGTCGCTCAAAGAAAGTAAAGCAATTAAATAATCTTACCTTCTGCACCAATAGAAACAAGTTTGACTCCTTTACTGGCGATGAAATCTAAGGCCTTATTGACATTGGCGATTTTATGGAAACGCATTTTTCCTCGGTCTGGCTTAGGCAAAGTTTCGCCCGAGATGACTTCGAGCAAAAGCATCAGTTTCAACCCATTCCGGAAGTCTTCCTCGATGTTCTCAATGCCAGTACCGGCCTTCCTTAAGTGACTGTTACACCATGCCGTAAATGTCTACAGAACAATTAAAAACTTTAGTAAACATCAACAGCAATTTGTTTAAATCCATACATATATGCGAATAAGTCGGAGTTATTTTGATCTTGACCAAAAAAATGTTAATTTGTTTAAAAACTCACAACTTCAGCGGGAAGACGATAGCGAGATATAAAATTGAAGAAACGTACAGCATTCCCATTTAAACTATTAAATTATAAGAATCTTTGCATTGGTACAAATGGATGCTGTAATAAAATTTTTAAAATACACGATTGTAAGTTATATTAATTTACTAATAATTGAGATTGCGACTAAATTGCAATATAACTGTGTTTCATTGAGTGATATGACCGTTATTTAGTGATATGTGTTCAGTAGTATACATTACCAATATTTTCAAATCACCTGTACTTATACTTAATCTATTTTCTACCGGTTATCTAGAAGCTACACCAAGTGGTGCAATAAAGCACATTACCGGTTTCAAACAGTTATCAGAAGTTTTCGCAACATAAAAGTTAAAAGCATATTTTCAGTACTGAAACTAGTAGGTACTGAAAACCGTCCGTGAGTAGGGCAACGTGGTCATATTTTAAATTAATTATTATTGTGTATTGTCTGCTTAATGTTTTTTCGTAAGTGGAAATTATTTTGTGTTATTAGTTTTTTACATATCGTTATCGACTGGTGCGATTTTAATTTGAAAAGTAACAAATTGAGGACAAAATGGATGTCGATTCATCAACAAACTCTCTTAGGTTTTGATTGGAATTTAGATGTTCACTGTGAACAATTTGATAAAATTGTGTTAAATTGCCAATTAAGGCAATTTTATACATTTCGTGCCATTTCCCTAAGATTTCTAAACAATAACCCTTAATCAGCAACACGATTTGCAACAATTTGCAGTTAGTTATCGAAACATGAACTTGTAGATGTCTTCACGTAGCATAACAATTACAGGTAACACAATATTTCCAGGTACAAGAAATGTTATATGTCAGAAATTTGTAGCCTCTTCAATTTCAATGTTTCTACAGAAAACTACAGCTCATGTTTCGTTTGTAATACAAGGAATGTCGGGAAAAATGTATTTTGTTCTACTTATGTGTCCGTGGCGCCGATATGACTTATTTTAATGCAAATACTTCAGTATTTGCGTACAGCTAAAGATACATGGTAATGAATAGATATAGATAGTAGAATAATCTCAACGAGGCAATTCCATAGAATTCATAATCTATAGCATTTGTATAGGTTAGTAGACCATAGCAAAGGTAAGTGTGATCGCCGCTCGAAAAGGAGTGGACATCTACAAGTAAATGCCCTCTGAAATTGATTCATTCTAAATACAGATTATTATAGAATTATCTTGTGAAAATACTTTAAAAGAAAACGTTGGCAACATCGATTTTTGTTCGGCTGTTGGGCTTTCTTCGCTCCGGTCTGCGATAAAGTTCGAGGTATGGGACCTCTCCAGCCTCTCCTCTCTGCATCCCAATCGAACTTTATAATAGTATTTTTTTGGGTTTGGCACCCCTTAATTAAAGAAGTTTCGCAAAAAAAAATGGTACTTATAGATAGGTACTTTCAAGAATGATCATGTAAATATAATACGTAATTTTGGCGTGATGAGCCATATTTTTCGCAGCATTCTATTGATAGTTCAGAGAACAAGCCTTTCTACTTAGTTAACTGTCAACCTAAGCCATAACGGCGCCCACTTTATCTTCGCAGTCTGCACACTGAGATCAACACGTTGACTTAAGAGTTTAGTCGGCAGTATCGTCATTTTACTATAATTATTACTCATTCGCGTTACAACTTCATGCCGCTATCGTTTTAACAGCTGTAATACCGCTACATTATTAAATAGGTGAACCGGCTTTATTTTTAAATGTCTAAAAATACGATGCATTCTACTGAAAAGATGGCTAGATTTATTTATAACGAAGGACAGTAGTGCCCACGTTACAAGTAATCATCCTGTTTTATAATACCAGCTCATTTCACTATTCCAAGGCTATATTATTCAGGAAATTTTCTTGCTTTGTGGAATACAAAATCTGAAACTGTATGTACGCAAATATCGGACTTCATGCTTAGATGGCTTAAACAACAGGTTTCGTTTCTTATTATAATTGCTATAATGAAAAAACCTCTTATAAAATACAATTTTTTTTTCAATTGTGACATTGAATCCTTTTGAGTACAAAAACTTTCACTTCTGGATCCTTTGCATAAGTGCCTTGTAACATTTTCAAAAAACAATCTTGACTGCTTTGATTCATTCAGGTATTTTATTCATTAATTCTCTCATACCAGTTTAGTTTTTTAGTTTTGTCCTCTTATTGTTCATTTTATTTCAGTGAAGTACTTGGTGTCTATTTGTTCTTCAAATCACTTTGAATAAATGTAAAATTTTAAATAAATTCTCCGTTGAGCATTAAACCCTGATACGTTTAGTTTATTCATATGTACATACGTATTTTTAGCTCTGTCTTTGAAGTTTTATAAAAATGATTGTGGAATTTACCCGCTATTTTGTCGAGATGCAGTGTCTCAAAGAATTCAAAATTTATTTTTTCTAGATGTGTTCATAGTCGCATTGCATGATAAGAAACTCCTTGAAAGTTATATGTATAAGTAACTGTATTTTACATTCGATTTAGTTTAGGTTCATAAACAGTCCATGTTTATTGAGAAATTGTTTAATGAGAAAACTACTAAAGAGAAATTACTATATTGATTACAAGAACGCAAGCACATCTATTTTTTAAATTTCATTGTACTTCCACTACAATGTTTAAACTTTGGAAATTGCTTGCGTGCAGCTTACTACTGGAACTATATATGCACTAAATATTTTCATTTAACCGGTTTTCTATTTCTTCTACTTACCAAGGTCCCCAAAATGTAAAAACCCGAAGCAATAATAATAATATTAAGCCAACCACATATTTTATAATTCATTTAGACTAAAATTTATTCATGTATGGATTTCTAAGTGGATTAAGTTAGGGTTCAATATCTCTACTTATACGAAATTTGTGTACAAAAACGTATAATATTTTCCAGAAAAACAGTTTATACAAAACTTATAATTTAAAATAGTGCTTAAACATTTTTTTCTACCATTACATTAAAACATTCACATAATGTAATTTAATTAGATTAATCCTCAATAGTGAATTAGAACGAAATCACTCAAGAATTTCAGCAACAAAGGTTACGAATTATTGGTTCTGACCTTTCCTCGTCTATTCAGGTACAAAAATAGCCGATGGTATTTCATTCATTTATTAAACTGAACCTGAGGACATTTACTTACAAATTTGTTTGCGTGGAAAGCTATTACATAATTGTTAAATTACATAGTAGGTAGGTGCAGGAAATTAAACACGGGTTAATGTGCCCTAGGACAAACATTTATTAGTGTTTGAACGATGGACTAAATATGGAGTAATTGTAGAGTTATTGTTACTAAGTAGGTGCAATTGATTCGATTTAATTTGCGTTAATGATCATTTTAAATGAACTTACTTAATAGCCAATAAAAGAGATAATAAATAAACGAAACTTGTAGAAATGTAATATTGTTATCAGAGCTGTTTAGCTTTCAGCTGAAGTAAAATACGGTGTTGATGTTTACCTAATAACTGCTGCACATTATTACTGCACAAAAAGTGCAATCTATATATCCAGATGAATAGCTTTCCAATCCATGTACAGTATGTCGTTTTATTACCGTAAACAATTTAAACAATATCCAACCAGGATGCTTGCTAATGATTCAAATATCTGTACAATATCATGGCAAATTGCAATTGCTTACCGTTCATAATGTCTATATTATACCGCTTATACCAACAATGTATTGTGAATGATAGAACTGATTATTATGCATACAAATCCAGCTGTTTACATGTTTCACTAGTTGATAAATTGATGTTGAAAACTAATTAAGATGCCCTGGGATGCGAGAGAAGAATTTCTCCAAGCAATCAGCAATTCGAATAGGTACTCGCGTACCAGAAACACAGATTATTACACATGAATTTAAAGGAACAAACGCCGGAACAGTTCATGTATTGTGTTTTAAGCAGTAGTTACTGATTCCATATAAATATACTTGTCAGCAAGTGTTGAAACACTAGTATTATTACACTGCAATTAGGAACAAATTACCATTAATATTTTTAATATTGACTAAATATTCCACTGGTCAAAGCTGAGTTACGTAGCTTTCTTCCTAGTCACATTTTTTAATATAAAGTAATTCACAAATAGGGAGGTGCAACAGAATGATTTATATCAGATTTCACAACGTTCGCAGCCTCAAAGCCAGATTAATATTTTTTAAATGAATTCAAATGTTTAAAACATTTACATAAAGATTGAATTTGCATTGTGTATGTAAGTATTTAAAATAATAAAAACCTAGTTATTTTTTTATTTAGCATATATTTTTATGGTTCCAATGGATTCATGAAATGACCGACATATTGTGTAATAACTGAAACCTGTCACAACTGGATTTGAATCGAAAGTTTGTCTAATCGAGTGCAATTATCCACTGCTCATAAATAATTGACACTTTATGTAATAATAATTTACATATTAGAACAGTAATGAATGTAGGAAGACCGTACGTCAGGTATAACAAATTTTAACGGTTTTCTTCCATTCATAATTTGGTTTCTCTTACTCAAATTAACATTATCGCTTTTTCAATAAATTAGCCAGTCAATTTGACTGGTGAATTTGATCAAAGTATAATGCAGAATTGAGATCTTTGAAAAATCCAGTTGAACTCCTTTATTAATTTTTTTGGGTTGTTGTAAATAAAATTTTGATACCCAAAAATAAGAATCTAAAAGTTCTCACAATTTTTTTCAGGAATAGGAACATGGAAAACATGTTCTCTAATAGTTTTCCAATGCATTAAATGTTGTTTCCAATGTCTACAATTAAGACTGTAAATGAGGCTTCAAATCCCCAATAGATTATACCCA